CTCAGTACATGGAGGGTAAACTACTACCATCTGTGAGTATCTCTTTAAACCCTTTGAAATAATCGATAAGGATACGAATAACATATAATTACTGCTGAATCAGATGAGTATGCAGTGTGCACTTTTTGACTATATGTTAGTTACTTGTTCGATGAGTTCTCGCGAGCTCATAAACATATATACACGTACAGTGTGTGTTAGATGCATTCATAACAAGAATGAAAAAAGGAGATGTTTTTTCAGAATATTGTGGATATAAAACAAAAAATGAAAGAATGCAAATATTTTATTAAAGAAGATTAAATTTATTAATAAACGCTAAACACACGTGTCTAAAGTGGTAAAATTTAAAAGAAAGTAAATTGTATGAAAAAGTTTTTTTTTTGTAAAAGTTGTCGATGTTGTTATTCGACACTTGAGTGTTACAAAATGTTCCGATATATGTATATGATGCCAATATTAGTGAAATGTTTTTCTGTGATTTGTGCGCTCGTGAAAGATTATTTTATGATGTTTGTGTGTCAGTGAAATATTTTTCTTTGATTAGTGCACAGTGTGTTACTGTACTAAAAACGAAACACTATTAAAGTTGATCTGTGTATGATGTAGACGATTCTATATAATGTTTTCTTTACATTTTTAAATGAAAATTGTTGTTGCCAGTAAAACAAAAAATATAAACTTTTTTTGAATTATATATTTTTTAAATTTATTTTGTAATATGTGTCATATTATGTATACAATGTACATTATATCTTCAACGATAAAAATGATGGATAAGTTAGCATATACAAAATATATTATTAAATGACAGCTGATAAAACTTAACAATAAATACCTGTGGCATTATGATTAATTTTTCGAACTATATTTACACGTGCTTTAAGATTTAATAACGAAATAAGCGGATACTTTAATTTTTTTATTTTGTTTCATAAACTTATGTGGATACTAACAGGATACATTCATACAAATTACTGCTTTTCAAAAACACTTTGCGTTATTTCTAATATAAATATTTATCATTGTAATAGTTATTGCTAATAATTTACTAATTGTTAATTTTGTACTAACAATTCATAAATAACAATTTGTGGAAAATTAATATCAGAGAAAAAATGTTTTGGGTTTTTATCGAATATTAAAATTATATTAGATTTACAGTCTTTTTTAATATAGTGTTGTTACGTCCAGACTCGAGGAAGGATGAGTCGACGGAAGGGCGCAACAACTATCTTTAATTTTCCCGAAATTAAACGTCTCGTGGCGTTTGTAATCGGGTCGAATGAACTGACAGGTCTGAAAAGCAGGTGAACGACTGAGTCGCTGTTACGCTGGTTATTCAGACGTTCGTTCGGTGGTCCCTTTTTGGTAAGAGAATTTAATCTCTTTTACGCGGGATGGGACCAAGTGCGATCTTTCGACTAGAGGAATGAGTGGGGGGTTTAATAAAAAGTTATTTTGATTTTTAAATTAACAAAATGTAAATTTATTCATTTTAAAGTAAATGGTGGATATACATGATTATATAAAAAATTAAAATAAAATATTGTTGATTATAATTTCTCGGTGAGCGTACATGTGTATGTGTGTGTTTCAGTTCGCGGGTGTTACATTAATACGGAGGACATCAGTCAGAAATAGAATGGAATGATTTTACTGTTAAATTTAGATTCTGACTGGGTGATACAATGTGATGATTTAATTAAATAAATAAAAACAAACAAAACATGTGTGCGTGTGTGAGTGAAAAAGGAAATATGGAGTCGTGGAGAGGGAGAATGAAGGGAGATATTTCAGTTTACTTTAATCCTGTTAAGATGAAGCGGATTCTAAGTCTGGTAGTTCATTGCAGAACTCCTCTATAGCTTTTACGAAATCTGCTTCTGAAAACTGCGGGGAAGATGGGGGTGAATTGTTCAAAAGAATTCTCTTCGGCGCTTTTCTTTTTCCACGCCATGAATGGTAACAGTAGCCCGGAAAATGTGCCGCGAAAATAAAGTAACCGTGTTCCATAAGAAAGAAAGCAATTTACAAAAAAATTGAAGAATTAATTCGATCGCATGGTATATATAACATTTACACTGTTTTTTTTCTTTCTTCTTCCGTATACGAAAGAACAATACTCGGGCTTTGTTTGTAATTTCATTCTTCTTCTTCTTCTTCTTTCAATTTATCTGGCCGCTTGTGATCAAGGGTGGATCAACAAATTCTGGACAACAGGTTATAGTGAGAATAAGTTTCTGGGAGAAATTATTTATAGGATAATGTGAAACCTCTTTCTGAGGCATGTGGGGAAATGGAAGGATAGAGTTTTATATGATAATCTGCGGAAAAACCTCTTTTGAGGCATGTGGGAAGGAGGACGGGACCCGAGCGGAATCGAACCTGGAATCTCTCGATTACCAGGCCGCGACTCTACGCTCGGCGCCACGCGTCGCCCCCGAATAAGTACGTAAATGATCGTATGTCCCTTCGAGTCCTCTTTTTATATCTCTCTTTTCGGGGTGTATTCTAATTTCTAAGAGTGGGAATCTTCCAAAACTTTAACGAATTAAAAATCGTGCCAGTGTCCTCATTAGGCGGGGTGTTTTTCCTACTTTTCAAATTTTCACTCATGACGATCGTCGATTGGTGATCAGTTCAGAATCCCTTGAGCTCTAGGTTTCCCTTACGCCCGTGATTTGATTAGACAAAGTCCAATGTGACGTCACATAAGTTTCGTCATTATTGATTTAATTGTATTCATCAGATATTTAGTGAGAATTTTATTATCTTTTCGTTATCAGCTTTTTATTCCGCTGGAGAATTCTACTGCGAGGGTATCTACTGGTTTTTATTTATTTTTTGGCGACCGGCGCGGTTTCGTCGCGTCTTTCTCACGGTTACTCGTAGATATAGATATTGACAAGTGACTAAATGTTTAAGGAATGTGTGACGCAAGATGCTCTATTTACCGAACGACTCATTTCTATCACCGATCGATTATCATTGCCGCAACTTTGCAGAAGGAAGGAATCGTGGAGTCACTAAGACGTAACAGTGTAATAATATATTTTTATATGAAGATATGTAGAAAACCTGATACCAACTAGAACAACACTACTTTAAAGTTACGAAAATTTACGATGTACTCTATTTAGCTTTACTATGGTTCGAATCGTTTGATATATCAATTTATACAAAAGTGACAATAATTTTTTTTTATATTAATTAGTTAAGCAAAAATAAGTTAAATTTGCAGAATGACCTTTTTCGCAAGGCTTTGTTTTTGAGAGAATTAATTGTGAAAATAAGTAATATGTTTCTACATTTTTAAAGTCTTAAAAAGTCTTACAATTAGTTTTAAAAAGTCTCTGACGAACTTGTGTTATAAATTTATTTCGATTAATTGTAAGCCTATTGAAATAGATATAAAAGAATACAATATTCTCTCTAATTCTTTAAAAAAATAAAATTTATTTTAATAGCTTTTCATATTACTTAATGTAAATTATTTTAAATTGTTCTATTAAATGTAGTGTTTTAATTTTATATTATTAATGTATATTCGAAACGAATTTGAACAATAAATACAATATATACAAAGTTATCGGAAATTATTCAACGGTTCAAAATACGTAAATATTTTACTTACTTTTTCAAATTTCGAAGCCAATTTCCTCGAAAGAACAAGATCTCGAAAAAATTTTCTTTATATTTTCGATTTATATCAATGTTGTATAATCATCCTTTATCCGATTATACTACGACTAGATTCCAGTTATACTCCAATATTACGTATTTCTTTAATCGACGCATCGACGATGATTCTATTTTTATATTAGTAACATTCATATACATTATTTTAATCACTTTTGATCTCAATATACTAAATTAGATTATATTTTGTTATGTACGAAACGGTAAATATGCATAAAAGGTCACAATTCACCGATTTAATCGCCACTTAGATATGTTATAGGAGGAAGTGTTCTGAGTAATTCCTCGGAAGAATCATGTAGCGGTCGGCGTTGTTTTAGGAGATATAACAAATTAAAGTTTCACAGTTTTAATGCTTTTTTCAGGTATTGTAAAGTAATATTAGGAAAAGTGAAGTTTGTATACATTCTATTTGTTATAGGGTAGACATGGAAAAAGTATTTGTTTACATTTACGGAATAGGTACATGGTCTTAGATATTTTGTCAATAATCAGTTTCACCTATTCTCGCAGTTTATTAATAGCTTTCAACATGCGACTACATGAATTTCTGAGTCATGTCTTTAACTTTACTTTTAAAACTGAAAATAGGTTTGGGTTAGGTTATATCTTCCGGAAGGGGAGCTCCCCCGTAGGGGGGGCGGAACCCACTTTGTCCACGCATATACTTTACAACGCGAAGCGAGATCCACCCCACAATTGTTGTGTGAATGGGAAAGTGTATGCGTGGACGCAGAGGGTTCTGTCCCCCAACGGGGGGCCTCCACTTCCGAAAGATATAAATTAACCCAAACCTATTTCTTCTTATGTCTTCTTATGTCTTATAATACGTAAAGAATAGCATTAAAACTGTGAAACTTTAATTTGTTATATCACCTAAACCAATGCCGACCGCCACTTGATTCTTGCGGAGAATTATTCACCACACTCCCTTCTACAACATGTCTAAGTGGCGATTAAATCGGTGAGTTGTGACCTTTCATGCATATTTACAAAATAAATTAATGCTCGAATCGTATACTATAAAAATTCAGTTTAATTTAACCATTATTTTAATTTATTTATAATTAAGACAGAATAGGAAATAAATAAAGAACATGTATCGTGGCGCAAAAATATATTCAACAAATATACATATATAAAACTAGTTATTTAATTACTAGAAAATAAGTAGTAGACAGTTATACACATTCTGAGTTCGATTTTATAATATTTTTTTACATACATACACACACACACACACACACACATACACACACGCAGATATTATCTTCTCTCTATTTTCTATTATAGTTTCTCTAATCTTTTATTGTCACTAACATAGATAAATATCCCATTGCCGTTTTCACCATCTAAATAGAATAAAAATGAAAATTAAGAGTATTCAAATTTTGTTTTATTTTTATGGTAAATAATAATTATATATAATATAATCACACATGCATATTTAAAATATGACGTGCAACATGTTCCACAATTATACAATACTTCTCTTTTTAATAGCATATTATACAGATTAATTAGAATAAAAGATTCTATTGCTCGGACATTAAATAAATTTGGAAAGAAAAAGATTCATCTTTGTTTTTATTGAAAGATCCCATATAGCACATAATATAACGGCAATAACACAGCAGTACTATTTTTCCATAGCAATATTACAATGAAATATAGCATGAATATTTCTGGAATATTACAAAAATATGACGGTAATATTAAAATGTCCGCCAAAATGAATTGCAATAATATAATGGTGACATATCACAATTGAATTATTTATGTAATATTTCGAGGAATTATGCCATTTCAATATTTGTATATTACAAATATATTGCTGTTGTGTTATTGTATTATTCCTCGAGGAATTGTCGTGACATAAAATATTATGTTAATACAATAAAGATTATAGCATTCCAACAAAGTAATTTTTATTATATTAATATAATATTTTAAATAATGACATTTGGAGGAACTATGCAATAAGACAACCATTCATGATGGCAGTATTTTCTTTGCAATCTCACAGAGACAATTACGAATTATCAATAAATAATTCATATATGAGAATTTTCATATTATATATTTATATATTATGGCAATTATATTATTATACATATATTATGACAATGAATAATTTACTCATATGAGAAAAATAATATGTCTGTATCCACTAAAAATAAAGTTAGCCGAACAAAGATATTTTTGATAAAATGTCCAAGATTAATAGATAACAATTTATTATCAATCAAATCAAAATAGCTTTTTATCAGAAGGAATAAACATTAACTTCACACACTATTTTATAAGTAAAATAATGCTATTGCGTCAACGTCACCTTATAGATTACGTAGTTGTATAAGCGCATCTAATATTTATTTATTAAATTAGTATTAAGTCTTTTATTTTAACTTAGACTACACATATTCAAAGCTCATCAAAATCGGAAACAGACACTTTCATATCTTCTCTTGTTAGTATTATTATTATTATTATTATATTATTAATTTTTTATTCCCCTTTATTGCAGATATAATTTTATTTTTTATAAGCTAATTTAAATAAATTATAATTAATCCATTACTTATATTTAAGAAAAGGACTGAATAATTTACGTATATATGTATAATATACAATTAAAATGTATTATTCCTAATCATCGTTAGGTGTGCTTAATTAATATTCGTCAATATCAGCCAAGTAGGAAAAATCGATATTACATAAATAGTTGAAATCCATATTAGATAGCAGATTTTAATATACATGTAAGTTACGAGCTTAAGCACGTGCTATACTAATCGGTCAACTTCAGTCAAAAACACGCTATTATCGGCTTTGTCGATTATTATGATTTTTTATTCTAATTAATTCGCAGAATTGAAGTATTGTATATGTACAGTAGTTTTAAGATTTTGTATATATAATCCAATACTTTATAATTAAACAACAATATTTAAATAATAACATATTGAGGAAACAATTATTTTTACGAGCAACACATTACACAAAAAAAAATATATTTTTTAAAGAATAAGTCTCTCACTACTCCGAACAACTCCATCGAAAAATTTCCGAATTTTCCAGCTGTTAATTTAAGCGGTATTAAAGATCCATATGCAATAACCATTAAGTTCTTCGCATCTTTGGCCGGTATATTATACCACTTGCATTCATATACGCTATACGCCATACTAGTGCTCTGAAAATTACATTTTTTATTTTACACGTATTACTAACTTACACGCTAACAATTGTTTTACCTCTGTTAAAAGTCTTTCAGCTGAGTAGCAATAAATGTACAAATGCGTCAACACAACAACAATATAAGTCGAGAGAAAAGCCATTTTGAAAGCAGATACATCTAATTTGTCTGTTATTATCTGAAGATATGTTTCACTCAACACAAATGCATATAACAGTATAATTATTATGCCGTAATATTCAAGTTAAATGTATTATAATGTGGAAAGGCTTAACTTTATATATATAT